ATTTGTGCGAATTAATTGGTTATATTCATGACCCTTCTTCTCCTGATTTTAACGCACTTCTATTGAGCTCTCAGCTGGGCTGTTGGCTGTTCGAGTTTACTGCTCTTTCCCCAAGGCTATTTGGTCATACTGTTACAATATGCCCTCTGGCATTTTCACAAAAAAAAAAAAAAAAAAATACCTTCCAATTGGCTTGCAAATTATGTTACCTCCATTAGCTTTATGCTTACCTTTCAAGGGCGGCGAGAGTAAAACATAAAATGAATAATTTCAGTAAATTTACTCTTAGTGTGGAAAAATCCTTGAAGAACTTAAAATCAATTTGAATTTTTTTCAGAATTTCAAAATATGTACAAAACAATGCGGAGGAACCCCTATTTACTCCATATAACAGCGAATATTACATACAAATGAGTAAAAATTTCTGAACCGGACCCAACCATACATTTGCATGCTGGAAGGAAAGTTGAAACGAATGGGGGAAAATATTTTTATATATTTAGGAAAAGTTTCGGGAAGGCTGATCACTCACAACGAATAATCCATTGAAACTTTGTAGTGCCTGGTCTTGGTTTTCATAATCATAATCACATTTCTAATATAAATTAGATCTGAAAAATAAGCTTAAGGGAGGACCTGGTTTAGAACGCTGAAAATTGCATGATATTCGGCACAGTGTTTTAGGTTGCCTTAGGTATGAAATGTTTCAAGTACTTTTGAAATAGGTCATAGATACACAGATCTTGCAAAAAAAATTTACTTTCACTTCATTTGATACTGTTATGCAATAACAATTCGTATTTGTTTTGTGGCACTTCTCGCTCTAAGATTTAAGATAATTTATTGAAAAAAGTTAATAAAAAAATTTTTTTATTGTGATTTTTTAATCGCGTGCACAAAACAGAAAAACACTGTTTTGAGAAAATCGCGCTCAAAGTTCTCGCGCCCGCTTATCCGCCTCCTAAGCGCATTGTCTCTCAGAGGCCATTTCTGCGGAACGATCAGGAATTCGACTCTTTTATGGAAATATTTCTGAATATATTTCTAATCGAAAGAGATAAGTTTCAAAATATCGATTTTTTTGACACTCTAAACCAGGTTCCCCCCTTAAAAAAATTTACTCCTTCAAATTATAACATCGGGATATATAAAAAAATATACCTTGCCTTGCATAGGGTTATCCATTTCGTGGTATCAAGAGTACAGGGCTATGTTTTGATATCCGCCAAACTTAACTGTAAATTTGACATGTTTGTTTTAGTTAAAAGTCAGAGATCTCAACAAATAGATTGCTTAATAACCGCACAACGCTAAAATTGTTAAAATCAACTACAGAAATGGTGATTCCAACATAACCACGTTTCGTGCATTAAGAAGAGATCATCCAACTACTCAAGATTGTAGATATTGCAAAAACTGTGCATCACCGTCTTTTGAAAATCTAGTCTTTGCCAAGGTCCAAACCTAATAAGAATAAAAGCGAATTTCATAAGAAATATGATTTCAAATGCATTCTATTTAAGTTTATCGAAACAGTAAAATGGATAACCCTGTCTATATGAGAGCAGTTATCCGATGCTTTAGGCTAAAAGTAGCTTTTGATCAAGAGCAAAAAAATCATAACCTCAAAACTGCCAATATGAAAACCATCCAATGAAAAATAATAAAAATTTGCGAGTTCTTTTTTTCTCAAATTTCTTTCAAATATATTTGTGTTTTACATAAAATTACAATTACAATTTTTCTGTTTAAAGGTATTTTGAAAAAATAATTAATTATAATTAATTAATTAATTAACGTTCATGTATATATACTATATATTATATATATATATATTTATATATGTATGTATGTATGCGTATGTAAGAATGAATAAAATTTATAGTGAAGTGGATGTGTGTTATTATGTTTGTAGTTGATTTGGTAGGTAGAAAGAAGCGTGTTTCCTTTACTCATAAATTCCACACAACTAACATACACACAGAAACACATAATGATAAATATAAAAGCAATAATATTAATAATAAAAGATTATTAAACTTAATAATCGTCATAAATGTAATATTTAGAAACATGAAATGCGTAAAATTAGAAATACCTCAAAAGTAGGCATATGATGGTGGATTGATTGATTGGTTTGGTTTACATAAAAGTCATACAGACATTGCTGCTGTTTTTGCATTTCTCTCTACGCTTATGTCGTTAAAATAGAGTCATTCATTTCAAAAGTTAATTAAGAGCTACAAAGTAATGACATAGTTTACATACATATTAATAACTAAATGGTATTTTATTACTTTAATTTTAGTTATGCTTGTACAATATTTATATAGAATTGTATTGTTTACAGTTATGTAAGTGGATACATCCATGTCTGTATGTAAATGATAGTTATGTAATAGTAAACAATAATGATAATTGTAATGAATTGACAGACCATTCACGTTTGTGTATTTTATGTATATGTATCTATGTATATATGATGCATATAAATATATATACCTACGAGTATATATATAGGTATATGTTTCTATTTATAAATATACGCTGTTACACATGCCTTTTAAGAACTATTGATATTTTATTTTATTTTTATATTAATATATTATTTTATATTAATGAAAATTATTACCAATTTAACACAATGTGGTATGTATGTATACGTATGTATGTACTTTATAGGCGGCGAAGAAATTGAAGTGCTGTAAACAAGGTGTGATATACAAAATCATTAGGTGTGTTTACATAAATATACCTACGTACATATGTATAAATAGCATTTAGTTAAAAATGTGTGAAAATTTGCTCATGAGCATGTGTAATGGGATGTACATATGTTTATTGAATGGTAGTTAGTTGGGGTTGTGGGAGTGTTTGTTTTCATTTTTACAATTTGCTTTTTACAAATAGCACAATTTTTGCTGCATACCGTTACAGCTTAAAATACATTACAAATTTTACAAAAAAATTTTGTGTTTAAAATTTTTCGTTTTTTTCCATTTCCATTCATCGCCTTTCATTTCAATTTTTCTTCTCGCTTGGCTTGATCATTTCGATGCAAATCAATTTATTTGAGGAAAAAATTACAATTTCACTTTTTTTTTACAAAAATATGTTACAAATATAGTTAGTGTGAGTGAACTAGTAGGATTGGTTTACAGAAATATACAGTTTACATACAATACATTACAATGTTTTTAGTACATGGGTTGAACTTGTTGTTGTTCTTTAATTACAGATACATTTACAAATAAGTTTATTTTTATTATCTAAACATAAAGGTTAAAATTCTTTTTTTTTTAACTATAAATCATTGAAAATAAAATAAAATTGTCCATACGCGTTGTATGAGAACCACGATTTGTGTTGATGCAAGTGAAAGTGAAAATTGCATTGGCTAAAATTTGCAGAGAAAACCAAGAATTTGCAAAAGTACACGTGTACGCTTCAGTAAACGAAAGGACAAAATGCGATTAAAAATAAGCAAGGCTACTAAAATTTTATGCAAAACGCCTTTAATATATTATTGCTCTTACATGGGATTAACACAATCGAAGGAATTTGGCTTCTTGCTGATAAAGCTAACCTTTAACGATTTTCTACTTGAAATAAAAAAATTTGAATATGAAAATTTAAATTATATTGAATATGTTTACCTTTTACAAAAAATTTAAAATCAAATTAGTTTTTTGAATACAAAATTATTCAAATATTGCATCGCAACTCTTGTTATCTACACCCATACATACTTGCATGTTGCTTTTAAGCCGCTATGCTCATATTTATTTTAGCTAATTTTTCTTCGATCTGTACCTAATTTTTCATAGTTGAAAGTCGTACATTGGCGTAGAAATTATACAAAAATGAGTTTGCCAATTTTCAACATAACTAATGTCTACAAATCTTGTAAAGAAAATTTAAATTGTTCTTTTGAAAAATGTCCCTTTCTCACTTCCCTTGGAGGAATTTCACTATTATTATTTATTTTTCACAGTTAATAATTTTTCCTTCAGCAATTACATTTATGTCATGTTCATTTATCATTTGAGCTCTCAAGTTTTCTTCATATAATTTCTACGCTTATTAACCTTTTTGCAGCATCCTTTTTTGCTTGCTTTCCTTGCGTTTTGCCATGCAGATACATATGCGTTTGTGTATGTGCTTATGAATTTATAAATATTAATTTATATATGCATGTATACATAAGTATAAGTCTAATAGCATTTCTATTTGCTTCTCTGCTAGCCTACTAAAATTTTCTTAGCGTTTGTATAATTACCGCTATATACTCGTATGTTATTAATTATTAATTTTCAAAGAGATTATATGTTTTCTACTTTCCGCCTGCATGAGTTCTCTCATTTACTGCTTGTGCAAGTCTGCTGTTACACTTCTCTAATACTTGCATTTTTTACAAGCTTTTATTTTAATTATTCATTTTATTATGCGAATTCCATAAACATATGCACTACAGTTTAATATTTAAATTTCATTGACTAATGCTACATATTTATATATGATTTTATTTGCAATCCTTCATTACATACATACATGTTGGTATATAATATAAATATATATATATATATGTATGTATGTATGTATGTTCATATGAATTAAAAGTTTAGTAATAAGTGTAATATATATATATATGAAAAGTATGTTTGTATGCGTATTTATTAGGGCGTTCATAAATGTTTGTGATGAAAATGTATTAGTTAGTTAGTTATAAGTTATAAACTATTTTTATTTATTAATTTATTATCATTTTTTTTTTGTTTCTTTTTTTTCTTATATGCTTCTCCATTTATTTTTTTTTTTCATTTTCATTTCAATTTTATCTCCTTTACGGTTTTTTTTATCATTTGTAAGTATATGTTACTCAAGATTTTTTAAATTCTTTCATCAATGTGCACTTTTTAGTGGCATATATTAAAATATGTACGTGCGTCATCTCACTAGATTTGCACTTTGCTTTCTTTTGCTGTGCTGTTTTTTGTTTGTTTTTTTTTTGAGGTTTGTTTTCATTATTGCCTATGCATGTTCTTTTCTCGAACCTTGCGCCACTTTTCCGAATTCGATTTTTTAGGCTTTTAATTTTTTTAAATTGCATTCTTTATATTTCACTTCAAATGGGTTTTTAAACGTCTGACTGCAGAAATGTCATGGGTGAAAGCAAACAAAAAAAATTATGCGAAATTTTTACAGAAAGAGCCTGTAATTCCCCTTTCCGTTTTTCTATAAAATTTTTAAATTTTTAACACTTGGCTTACATATTTCAGCAGGCATGCGCTGTGCATATTTTTAAGCAATTTTATTTTATTTATATGCGAATAGCAAGTCTCAATCCGTTTTACTTTTCATCATGGAAATTTCACGGAAAAATGTGACTTCGTCTTATGAAAGTTCACTCTTTTTGAGTGTTCATTTGTTTACATTTTCACTTTTTTGGCGCGGCATTACATCTTATGTAGGCTTCTGTTTTTTTTTTTTTTTTTGTTGCAATGAATGCACACGTGTTCGCTCAAATATCAAGTTTTGCATAGATCTATATATATGTGTGTAGTGTTATAAATTTTAATTTAATAATTATTTATTTATTTATTTAACTTCTTTACAAAATTTTACACAAAACATTTTATAGTACAATCATACAGTTGTTCTGCTGAGTACGTGATTACAAATGTAAATATAAACGATTATACAGTAATCGTGCTGGGTCACACGAGTACAGCAGTTACCACAAGCCAACGGCGCCAGTGCGGTAGTGCCGCTAGATGTTTGATTGGTGCTATAACTTACGACTTGTACGACTCACTGCGTTACTGACAATTTTACATACAGTGGTTTACAATGGTTTACAAATACAATACAATCTTATAATTTTACATAAATTTGCCGATTTCATTTTACATTTTACAGACATTTTTATCTTGCAATAATGTGGTTTATAATTTTGTTTTGATTTCTTTTTTGTTTCTTTTTACATCTTTCTTGATTTTTTATGGTACATATTTATTTATAGATTTTAGTACATAAATTTCATTAGTCTTGTATTTTGTGTTTCAAATCAATACATACGTTTTAACGCGCCACTCTTGTGGACATGCATTGATACTTATAAATATAATATATAGAGTGTGATGTGTGTGTGTATGCGTGCCAAATATAACGCACACACATACAAGTATGGATTTTTATAATACAAAATTTGAATTTACTTCCTATGCATGCTTTTTTCACTTCATTTTATTTACGAGCAGCACTAAAACAGATTTTTATTTTTCTACTACTTTTGTTTAGCAGCGGAATCCTCTCGTTTTTGTTTCTGTTTTTCTATGATAGCTACACATTTTTTACAGTTTTTATTTTACTCTTCTTTTCAATACTAGCAGAACATATAGCATTTTATATTACATAACATACAGTCCTAAACTTTAAATATTTTGTTTGGAAATATAAACTTTTTTGACTTTTCCTTTTGGTTAAAAAATTTTGTTTGTTTGCATCTCTTATCTAGTTGCTTTCATTCTAAAAACTACAAATATTATTCTTACAATTATATTATTTACGTACTTATATATAGCTAAAATATATTCATAGTATATGTACTTTAAACGAGCGAATACAAATTAGTTATAATATAATATAAATAATGTTTTCAATCATTTGCTTATTACATCTTGTGTCAGATGGTTACGATTTTACGCACAAAAAGGATTTTCCGTTGCAACGAAAAAATTTTCGATTGCTCTCCGTGTGAGCCTTGAATGTGGAAACCCATAGTAAGATGAGTTGAAGTGTAAGCATAGGTAATTTGTACAGGTTTCACTAGGTTTGTTTGAGTGTGCTTGTAGGTTAATACTAAAAAGGCGCATTTACAAATTATTTATACTTTTGATTTTCTTTTTACAAATTATTAAAAAATTTACATAATATTACATTTAGTTTTTCCTTTTGTACAAAATACTACATTTTTTTTTACAACATTTCAATTCAAATTTTAATATGGAAACGAGCGAGCATGTCAGCGTTTACTGCTATAAATTGTTTTCTTGAAAATACTTTTTTTTTTGTTAAATGTCATTTACATGGGGAGAGGTAGTCCGATTCTCAAAGCTATGCGTCGGTAAATGTGCTTTGCAGTCAAATGGTTTAGATTATGCACATTTGAAGCAACATGTTATTACATTGGAAAAGAGGAGCGAATATTAGAAAATCGTTCTTCAACATTTCTTCTGATAATCAACGTCGTTTTATTGATTAAATTTTCAGATATAGAACTTGTAGCTGGAGTAATTTCTTTAGTCTGAAGAATATTTCTCCTAACTGTAAATAATTCTATAACTGTATTTGAAGAAATTTTGTTTGCTCTTTGCTTTCAACAATGAGAATATTTTTTTTATTTACATAAATGTGTTAACATACCAAATTTAATAATTCGCATGCCATTTTGCTCAACAAAATATTATAAACGCACATAGACCGTAAAAAATTTAATTCGACCCTCTAGTACGAAAACATTAATTGAGACGATTTTTTTAATAATCTTAAAATCAAATTTGCTTCCATAGAAATTTTTGTATGAAATTTTATATGCTATTTTGTATTATGAAATTTTTACATGAATTTTTATGAGCATTTTTTACATGAACTTTATACAATACATTCTAAGTTGCCCACACGTTCCACACCGCGTAGACATGTGCTTCAATGAAGGGCAATTCACTAATTTTAGTTAAAAGGAAAACCCAATTTGTGCGCAACAAGTCCATAGTGAGTTTGGTTTGTTTGATTTCATATATAAAAGTCCTTTGTTTTCCGCATTTTTTCTTAGCACACTAGTTGCGTTCCAAAGAAAGATGCTAAAAATATATGTATATATATGTTATATTACTTGTGTTGCTTTGCCTTAGTTTAATACATGCCTGTTGCGTGTTCTGTGTTTGTGTGTTTGTATATATCTATATTTCTATGTTTGTTTGCTTAAATTCTTATTAATAATTCTCAAATTAAAGTCTTCTAAAAAATTACTTAAAGCAAAACTATAGTAAACACTAATGAATGTTAAAGGTGCTCAGAGCGCTGCAGGCATTTGCACACATACAGCCATATTTCGCTTTCAACAATAACCACTACGCTGACTCTTTTACGTCCACGAGCGGTGAGTGTTGATAAAAGGCGTGGCATATGCGTAATGCAAGTCCATATTTCAATGCTGTACGGACAATACATACATACGAACATATAGTATAAACGTAGTTTAAAAACTAAACTTATTTTCTTGTTTGTTGTATTTTCATATCTTTTACATCCCCTTTATTGTTATAAATTTGTGTGTGTTCTCCTCTGTAATTCTCTTTTACAATTTATTTATCAACGACATCCGTTTGCCGGACTTTTTTTTAGAAAAGTTTGCGAACAAGCGCTATAAATGCCTTAAACGAATGCGCTAATTTAGCGACGTTTCCCTTTAACTCTTAATAATTTTTTGATTTGAGATTTTCTTCTTTTAAAACTTCGTCATCAACATGTTTTACGTTGAAAAATAATTTTTAATGGGTGTGTAGAGCGTTATTACTGCCCTTTGTTGTTTTATATAAATCGAAAGTAATTTCTTTACTTTCCCTTTTCAACCGATTTTGATACCTTCGTACGGCGTTTAAACACGCATTTTAAATGTCTGCCATATAACATATAGCTTGGCTTCATATAGTATTTAATTTTGGCATCAGTTATTATTTTCTCAATTTCCCCCCTACTTTTAAATACATAAATATATATATAAAAAAAACTACTATGTGCATAAATATGTCTCACATGCATGCTTTTCTGATTATTTGAGATTCCTTTCATAAAAAATTTTCCTCAGCAGGCTAGTGCTATATTAGATGATGTCTTGTAAAAACGATTTGCATGCACACATAATTAATTTCCTTTGCTTGTCTGTATGTTAGCTAGCTTTAAAATCTAAACACATAAAATAAAATAGAGAAAAATATTGTTCCTTAAATCTACGTTACACATTGAAATTATAATAGACTTCTGCTAAATTTTACTATACATATTATTCATACTTTTGCTGTTACTTCTTAAACATAAACTAAAAATTAAAAAATTAGTATGTCCATTCTATATGACTCTCTATAAGCTTTATCATCATATCTTCTCTTCACCTCGTCCTCACTTGTACTGCATACATTAATTTCGTCGCTTTTTCACTTCGGGCTACCACCTTACAATACACCATTGGTGGTGGGAGGTCCAATCGGGCCCAGACCACTATTGACAGCTGTCACGACGGAGGTGGCACTGCTACTGTTGGTCGACACAGTGCACGATGATGCTGCTGGCGATGTTTGACCCACCGGTGTAACGTTAATGCCATTCTCTTGAATCATGATGGGTGTGCCGATTGTGAGATTGCCTGTTACGTTGCTATTTGTCGGTGTGGTTATGGTCAGGCTAGCTACAGTGCTGCATGCCGCTGAGGTCAACGTTGAGATGCTGCTATTGCCCGGCAACGACGACTGTGCTGGTGACGAGCTTGCTGCTGTCGTTATCGGATTAGCTGTCTTCATGAAGTATTTCTCTAATTTGGCATTAATGTGCTTGCCATAGGTGTACTTGCGCAATGCTGCCATATGTGGTCGTATCTTGTTCATGAGTTTTTTCAATTGTGTCGGCTCTGAGACATCGATCATTTTCTGTACCACATAATTGGCATATTGATCTTTCATCATAACATGCAAGGCGCTGAAGTAAAGAGAAGAGGAGAGTAAAAGTGTATTAGTATTTTAGGATTTCTTAATAAAAGTAAGGGGTGAGGGAGTTAAAGGTCCGCTATGGATAGTAATTATTAAGATTTCAAACGGGATTTGTTGTAGCATCGGAGAATAAAAAGCGAAATTGAGATATTTTTAAAACGAAATGACATATTAGTAGACACAGTAGCTGATCTTTGAAAGAGCATGTACTGATAGCCAACTGTAGTAGAATCAAATCCAAAACTATAAATTGAATTTAAAACTTTTAATATTAAATTGGTTATTAAAAATCTGAGTGTACAAATAAAAAAATGATGTTCTTATATCAAGATCCAAGAATCGAGTAATCGAAAAATAATAATAATTTTCGTTCATTACTTGTCATTGAAGGTGCACACTTCATCGATGAGTCCTGTGCGTTCGCCGCGTGTTGCATGTGTGACACATTTCTCCACTACGTTGGAGGCGAATTTGTGTTGTGACAAAACCAAAACTTTTCCACGGACACTAGCGATGAGTATCGACTTGTCTTCGGGTTTGCCGTGCTCTATGAAGGAAAACAGCATTACAAACACATTCATATTCATTCAAAAATGACTAGATGATTTTGAAATACCACCGATACTCACCCAACACGTGTTGTATTACGTAATTGCCATACTGATCCTGTATCAGCTGTTCGGTATGTTCATGTAGTTCATCGAGTATGGGCTGTGTCTGCTCAGCAGTGCAATGTTCCAATATGCGTTGTATGACCCGACAGCCATATGGGTGTGTGCTCAATGTATATACCTGACCCTTGAAGGCATTTATAACGAACTGCAATGCAGACGGATCAACGCATTCGATACACTTTTGCACCACATGATTGCCATTTTGGTCCTTGACACATTTCAAAACATTACCATCCAATTCACGTACGATTTCTGTTTGTTGCTCCGATGAAATGCTCTCGAGCGCTTTCTGAATGACGCGACAACCGTACATCTGCAGAGCCAGTTGCAATACATGCCCCTTTACCTGCATACCCAGGGTATTCTTCTGTTCGGGTGTGCCGAATTCAAAGAACTTCTGTATGACATAGTTACCAAATACGTCGGTCATCAAACTAAAGGCTGAGCCCAAAATTTCACTGAACACCAATTGCTTCTCTGCAGCGGTAGCGCGTTCCAGTTTCTGTTGTATGAAGCGTGAACCATGCTGGTCCTGTGAGAACTCGACAATGTGATTGGCCAAATCGCGCAACTGTAAATTGGGGTAGCGCTGATTGCGGAAATCCTCAAGTAGACGTGAACGCCCTGGTTGGGGTGCACCGGCCGCAGCTGCCGCTGCAGCAGCGGCAGCAGCTGCTGCAGATGCATTTAGACCAACAGCGGCGGCCGCAGCATGACGTGTTGTGGCAGCGGCGGCGGCAGCAGCTGCAGCAGCAGCAGCGCCACCCGGTATTGCTAGCTTGGAGAATAGTGAATTGCTGGAACCAAACATATTGCCAGCAGCAGCTGCGGCGGCTGCTTGTGCTGCAGCAGCGGCGGGTGGTAGGCCTACAGTGCCGACAGCCATTTGTTGGCGATATTTGGTTTCGGCGCCCGGTGCACGGTTTGTTACGAGACACGATTGTGGCGGTGGCGGTGTAATGGCTGTGCCGATGGGACTAGCCGAGGCGGTGGCGCCCAAAGCACCATAATTGTTGGTAACAGCGGTCGGCCATTTGCCGCGAGCGGCAACAGCAGCAGCGGCAGCGGCAGCTGCAGCCGCCTGTAGGGTGGTGGTGCCACCATTATTATAATCCACAGCCGAAGGGCTAAAAGCCGATGTGTTGCGGTCGAACGAGTCACGGCGACTGGTCAGCGAATTAGTGTTCAAGGCGAGTCCTATAAGTGTGGAAGAGACAGAAAGAGAGAGATAGAGAAAAGGATTGTAAGTAATTATGATTTAAATTAATTTTTAAAAATATGTATAAATACATCCATATCTAAGTACATAGGAAAGCTAAAAAAAAATACTTGACTGGTTGCATATTTCCATACATAAATGTATTTGTGTATACATTAGGGCAGCACAGAGAAAATATTGCACCAATATCAAATTCTTTAAGTATGGTAAATCGGAAATTGCCTGATGCGAAATATCATTCGAATTAAAAGTCGAACGCAAATCCGTGTTTTATTAAATTAAAAACATAATTAAATGCTTAGTAATCGAGGAATGGAGCACAAAAAGGAGTTCATGGACGTTTTTGAGGCTAGAAAATACTAAAATTCAATCCTGCTAAATACTTTTGCGGACGCTCTTGGGTAGAGTTTGTAAAAGAATATATTTTTAAAATTATGTAACTAAGTGTTTACAATTTACAATAAAATTCATTGACAGTTAGAGGCTTAATACCTTGCAAAGGAAACTAAGCCCGATTTGAATTGATTGTGATTAATTACACAATATTTGAGTAACTGTACAGTAGTTTATTAATAAAATATAAGAAGTAGAAAATGAAAATTTACATAACGCATTATACATACTCGTACATACTTATATTTAAATACATTAAGTCGTAATTTATGTATTATTGGCAATATTAAAATAATTTCAGTAATATAACCGGATATTTGTTACTGTTAATAAATCAAATCTCAAAGGACGTGCAAAAGGATCAATTAATACTAGTGTCAATACAAAGGACCGGAAAACATGTAGCAATTAAATAATATATTATATGTCCTTATTTATGAGTGATTTCAGGTATTGATTAATATATTAATTCGTTTGGAATAAAGCAACAGAAATAAAATATAATAATAAAATAATAAAATCAAGCCTAGTGTTTACACAATTTGCAAATTATTACATATAAAAAGCAAAAAAAAAAACATTTATAATGACTTAGCACTCTGTACATATCTACATATAATATTTATAAACATTTGTTGGTATGCCCGGCAGATTATACTGAAAATATGACAGCTTGCTGCTATTGTTCCTGAAAAGGCTCTTTCGGGAAATGGATCAGGGGCTGATTTATTTGAAGGAATCGTATTTATGGTTTGATACACTTGAAGTTCAGCAGGAAAACTACTATTATGCTCGGGATCTGGAACAGAGACTCACCAAATTGAAAAAAAAAAAAATTGTGTAAGTTACAAGGACTCAAAAGGACCTATAGAAATTGCCAAAGTTACATTGTAGCGCAATAGTAAGTATGTACCTGAATAGCTTTCGCAGGCATCTACAGATACGTAAAATTGCTAAGAAATTACAGCATTAAAAACTTCCAAAGCGGCAAAGACTAATTACGACTTAACTAGTCTTGATGAGTGCGCATTAATACGTTAAAAAAAAAGAGAAAGCAAGTGACAAGGGAAACTCTATTTTCTCGAAATGCGCTGTTGCAGTATAAATATAAAACGTACTAAATGTTTCTCATTGCTATACCGCAATGTGCGTGTGAAGAGATGGGAGGACATATACAAAAGCAAAAAAGTAACTGTAAATTTGCAGGCAAGCACTTTGAGTTTAATTTCTTGTATTGTATATTGTTTATGCAACGCATAATATAATATATAAAGCACATTCTATTACTTACATACCTGCCTCCTTACAGAGGAAACGCGATGTCATAGAACACCGAAGAGAGTAATAATTGCACCACACAAAGCAGTAAAAGACAAGAATCGGCGCAGAGCACGAATGCCATGTCACACGAGTGAATGCACACAATTGAAAAGGGAATTATTTATGCAATTTACGATAGAAGAGGCAACTCTGCCAGTCCCAGTGCTACTGCGTAGACAGTAGGTGTGTCAGCCCGAGGCATTCATAACCACTTCAAGTGCAGTAAAATAGACAAACGTGCCACATTCTACACACATACAGACAAGGAGTGGTGGATGCGAAGCAGATGCAGAGAAAGTGAAGTGTAAGGTTGCATTGACGCTGAAGTGTCTGTCTGCTGTACGTGCACCGCAACAATTAAAACCAAGTACCAAAGGATATTCATACGGACTCCATATACGTTATGTGTAAGCAAACGAGGCAACAGGCTGCTGCTGCTGCTGCTGCTATAGGATGAACGTTCAGGGATTAAAATTGCGTTGTGCAGCAGTTTGCTGCTGCTCTTCTTAGCTGTTGCAATTGTCAATTCAACGCTCCACTGTGGTTGTTGGTTCCTGCAAGGCCCGCTGCTTTATACCCTTCACAAAAAGTCCGATTTAATCGAAGTCACACAATTATTTATCGTTCGTCCAGTATAACAGGTTATACAAATTAATAACACGTTACAACAATTCGGGAGCAGTTTGCTTGAAACGACAAACTGGACGATGAAACGATGCAAACGAGCTGACTTTGATCGTAGTGAATTTTTCACTCCTCTCGATACTCAAAACAAGGACCTGAGATATTTTTTAAGTTTTCCCCTTGGAAGGCATAAAAAAGGCGACAAAAAGAAAATGAAAAATTCAAATGTGAATTGTAAAAAGCGAGTGGGAATATGGCCAGGCCGTAACGTCAGTCGGGCTCATGAGACCACCGAGCGTGACAAAAACAGCAACCAGCTGCTTTGTGGTGCATTAACTACTTATAAATACATACTCGTATGTACAAAACAACAATCCTCAATCCGCCAGCATCTGGCAAATATTTAGTGAACAAGAAGGAGCTTGTGTGTATGTGTGTGTGTTGCCAGAAGTGACAGTGAAAGTAGATAAAATGCAACACAGGCACAAAAGAAGCTTTCAAACACAATGGCATCACTGGCATTAATGACAATTGTACAACAACACACATCAACTGCAGGTAAAACATACAGAAATACGAACGAATGTATGCAAATGTGGTAAGCAATGATATTGGCAATGGTAAGTAAGAAGGAGAACTCAGAACTTTAGAATTTACGTGTGTGTATGAGTGGATCAATTCGACGCTGATTTATGCAAGCTAGATGCACCTCCTTAAGCTGGCTACAGGCTACACGTTGAGAGAGGCAAATGCGGAGTTTGCATAACGGAAAATAATTCATAACAAAAACCACTTAAATCGCATGCATGGAAGTAGAAGAAAGTCTATGTAGGTGCGTATGAACGTACTCGTATTAAGAACTTAATAGTATGATTGGTAATGCATGACTATATTGTATTTTCAAATTCAAACATTTTCAACTACAGTAGCAACGAAATTATGTCACACGTCACACTGAGTCTACAGGGTTCCACCAAGGGAAAATTAATTTAAATAAAAAATTAAAAATGCCAGACGAAAAGTAACAAAGCGCCTATTATACATATATACGAAAGAGAGGCCTGAAATAATTAAAATATTTTATTATTTTCAGGGGTTTGCAGTTAGCTGACCAATCACAAATTACTGAGGATTTATGTATTTTGTTTAATTTAGATTTTATAATTGGCATTATAGAGGAATCATAGGAAAATGATAACGAATAGTCGTAATTAAGCTTCAACTAATGTAACATCATAAATTTCCAATATATTTATGTACACATGTATATAAATGCATAAGTGCATTCAAAATTTGGCGTTGAAGCAGCGGATAAGTTATTTTCTCCTTATTCATGGAGGTATATATCAGAAATGGTTAGAGACTAGCCACATTTTCACTTTGGAAATTCTTTCAGGAAAATATAAATATGAATTCCTCAAAGTAAGCCGCACGTAGTTTATCCGTGATACCCATTCCGAGCTAAGGTGTGTGACGTCGCTTCGGCGGCTTTAAAGCAACTATTATATATATATAATCCAGGTAAAAAGCACCAGCGTACTAAATGTCAAGAAAATCGATTCTGCACTATTTTCGGGAAATAAATGTTATAGCACATAACGGAGAATAAAAAGGAGAGTAGGGTGCTTTAGCGAGATAAGATCGACCGAACTCGTTGTAACTTTTTATTTTCAGCAACATGATAAACATTTCAAACCATCAAATTCATTTAAAGTAATGAAATAATTCTGGGAGCAAGAAGGGGATTCAACGATTGTTTTATGTAATGGAAACCAGTGATTTATTTAGCTATAAAAATACCGAGAAAAACCCAACCGAAGTTAACCATGAGCAAAAAGTTTTTTTTATAAAAAGAAAACAAAAAAAAAAACAAAAAAAAACAATAACGACATCGTGTCCTGGAAGGAAAACATAAGAGGTTAGTTCAAATTATATAAACGTAGAAACTAACATCACTTTATTTGGTATATAAAGAGAGAAAACTATAGTAAAGGTGTGATGGAAGTATAAAATAAAATTTCCAGAACTTTTTGGTTATTGTTGAATACAGAGAAATCATCAAATGTCCTCAGCATTTTTACACGTAATATTTTGTTTAATCTTTTGCCTAATGTTTCTAATTTTCCAGTACCAATTAAATCCTGCCAACTGCAAATATCATTATTTCCCGGCCCTGGTATCGAGGAATCATTTTGCCTGTCATAACAGCATTAAAAACAATAAAAAGTTAGTCAACTACGATTTATGGATTTCCTCTGAAATGAATAAATTGGGACCGCAAAAAGATCTCGACATAAAAACATAGTGATATCTACACTTGATGATGTTTTACACCGACATGTGAACCCTAGTGCTTCCATAAATACACACTCGTTGTCTCCTTAATCACTGTGTGAACGAGATAATAACAAAACTACTCTTTGTATTACGCTGCCACGTCAAGGTTATGCCAGTTTCTGCTGTTAAGTAGGTGTCAAAATGTTTGCAACGTTTTTACGCTGTATGACACTCAGTTTATGACAACAAGAGCAATGTGCAATATGGCAATATGCGGGCATACATACATGCTTCTTCCCTGTATGCAACAAGAACACCCTATATACTCTAAACAATATATTTTGCCAAGATTCAGCTGTCCGTG